GCCCAATGTGAATTTATATATCCGGTTTTTAGATATTCAACATTAAAGAAAAATAAATGCCTTGGAGCTCTAATTAAATGTGCTAACAAAAAGTTACCAGTACTCCAGACATTAGCACAAAGACGCCCAGACCTATACCAAGATCCTAACTGCATAATATGCAATGAAAAAGTCGAAGAAGATCAAGATCATCTAGCAAGCTGCAAAGAACAAGAGAACAGCTGGAGGATTGCAGAAAAACTAGTAGCAAATATAGCATGAACAGCCTTTCCAGAAGAAACCTAAATGAAAACAAATAAAGATCTACTCGAAGGAACTCTTTGGGAAAGTCAAAGGAAGAATCTTTAGAAACAAGAGCCAAAGCAATCAAAGGTCTGATTCTAGAAGACAAGGCAGAAAAGATACAAGAAACTCTACAATCAGGAAAAGACGCCAAGATCTACATCGAACTTGCTATTAATACGTAAAACTTTTCTAAGTTTATTTCAAATTTTCTGTATCTTTTTCTTACTATTATCAGCTTCCTTCTTTAACTGTTCTAAATAATAAGAAGTTTCTAAGGTTTAGATTTGGTAGTCACGTGATTTCTCACAGCTTTCTTCTTTTAATTGATTGCTAATTTCTTTAAGTTTCTCTTTAAAGATTATTTCTGTTAGAGGTTTTTATCGAGTAAAGACTTTATCTTTTTCTTCAGTTAAATCTTTAATGAGTCGAGAGAGTGTATTGTTTTCTGTATCTTGAGTCAATACGATATCTGTATTAAGTTGCAAAGGAAGTATAGTTAATTCTTCTTCGATAGATTCAGTAGAAACAATAGGGTCACCAAAATCTATATTTGGCAAATAATTATCTAATGCATCAGTACTGTCCAGGTGTGGTGTAGGCATATCTGATTCTGTTTTAGTGGGAATTGTAATGATATAATAATATCAGTTTCATTATGCACTACAATAAAATTACCAGTTATTGTTAAGCTATTGTTAGCAGCAAGGGAGTTCTGGTTCTATAGTACAAGAAAATTGTTTAAAGCATTTATAGTCTGGGGCTGTAATTGTTGTGAAGCAGAGGTTTCCATTTTTAAGAGGTTGGGTGGAAAACTACTAAATTAGGAAATAAAGATTTGGGTAAAGGGTATTTCTATTTATAATTTTTGTAGCAATACAAACTAAATTAGAGATTTTCAAAATATTTGCTTGTATATACAATGTGGAGTATCTTTGTTTGCTATAAGTGTCAAACAAGTATTTGTTCAACCATGTGCTCTGGATCTTTAATTCTGAAAATAAAAATTTTTTTACAATATTCTATGAATTAAAAATTCTTTGTCTGTATCCGTCCCCTTAAAAAGTGAGGTCACCGAACTTCATGTACTAATTTGTCTAAAATTAGCTTCTATTTGTTTCAATTGTCTATAGATTTCTTATTCTAGTAATCACATTGTTGGTTGTAATTGTTTTTCTGCATGTGTTGTATGATCTTTTCATCTTGTTAATTATATTTTTCCATTATTTATTTATCGATTTTTGGTATTCATCGTATCTAAAAATTTTCTATACATAGCTTTCTGGTCTTTATCTTTTCTTTTGTCTTCTTTTTTTTTTCTTGTTCTAAATTTTTCTAATATCTCAACTTTTTTTTCTTGTAGTTTTATCAAAAAAAACTTGTCTTTTGTCTTGTCTGTTTCTTGTTGTTTTTATCTTGCTGTCATTTTAAAGGTGTATATACTTTCTGGCTGTATGCTAAGTCTTGTCTAATTTAGACATATGGGGCTTGACCAGTCATCTATCTTGGTATGCTATGTAGTTGGCCCAAGTAGATATTCCCTTTATATTTTTCTCTTTTTTTTTTGATGCTCGTAGTCCTTCACGCAAGTAGGTTAGAGACTTATTTCCATTGGTATAGCAAGTAATGGACCTTGCTTGTTGTATTCTTGGGATAAGCGCCTTGCCAATATATTTTCTTTATTTCCATTTTTAGTATATGTGCTTAGAAACAATAGGTTT